TACGCCAACTGCTGCTCCCCTGTTTCACTTCCTTATTGAGCAAACCATTTCTCAGAAATCACGTGACCAACTATTCTCCCCGGAAGCGGTTGGGTTTCTAGGCAACGGGACAGATCCACCCACGCCAATGATTGGTTCATGCTGTTCTCTCATTTGCATTTTAGGCAACCAATTGGTGCCCACCAGCTTGTATATAACTCGCCATTTTTCCTCAATAAACGGAGAAGACTAGAAGACGGAACACTTGATCAGCACCTCGTTTTGTCTCCACTCTGTGTGTGTGTGTGCACATGTGTTTGTCCCATCTCTCACTCCCTCCCTCAGGAAACCTGTTCGACAGTCCTGTGGGTTGGGACACGTGGTGCCTGAACACAGACCTGGGTACAAGGGATCCAGTGAAGAGCACCGAAATAAAGAGAAAGGCTGTGGCAGAAAACAGAAGAGGACGGCAGAGACTCGTCCAGAAGGGGACAGAAGAGACTCGTCCCAAGAAAGACTGGCAAAAAACATAGAAGGACGAAGAGAAGACATCCTGGTAAGTATTTACTTACGTTTTATTTAAGTACGGGTAATAATGGGACAAGAGCTTAGTCAGCACAAACTATCTGTTCAGGACTTAAAAGAAGCCCTTGCCATTATGGCCGCTAAGGGAGAGCAGATCATGCAAAATGATCAACCCCAGGAGGAGGCTATAGCCACCTGAGATCTAACCAAGGATTCCAAAATTGAAAAAGAACAGGGAGAGGATCTTATTTTCCTAGATAGTGAGGAAGAAGTTAAAAGCCCTGAAGGCAAGACAAAACCCCAAAAATCCAAAAAACTAGTCAATGATAAAGTTACAAATGTTGAAAAGCCTCAGAAAAAATTATACCCATCTCTTACAGAGCTTAAAGCTCATTTGAATAATCAATTGACTAATCCTGAAAAAGTAACTTTAGAAACAAAGACTGCCACGTGCAATAACCCAAAATGGCCGTCTGAAGAAAAAAATTTAGAAACAAAGGGAGCCAAATGCAATAATTCAAAATGGCCACCTTTCAAAAAACGACCACCATCTTACAACTTGGTCGCATCTGCACCACCTTTGGCGATACCAGTTATTGATCCTAGGGAAGAGATTTTGAATAAAATTAAACAACTTGAAGAACAAATTCAATTTAAAAAGAAACATCAAGACTTAATATCACAATTGAAAAAACTGAGTGGGTAAATCTAAAAGTACAGATTCCTCACAGAATCGCTATCAGCCTACTTTTACCCCTGGTACAAAAATTAAACCAGTTCAGATACCACAACCATCAATGAACTTTGAGGAATGCGAAGCCTTCCCGGTAATAGAAACCATAGATCAACAAGGGCAAGCATGGTGCCACGTACATGGCTTTGATTTTAACATTATAAAAGAAATTAAAACAGCAGTTGCTCAATATGGAGCTACAGCTCCAAATACTTTAGCCATAGTTGACTCGGTGGCAGAAAATTGGCTTACACCAATAGATTGGCAAACATTGGCCTGTGCTGCGCTCTCTGAAGGGATTACTTACTTGGGAAATCAGAATATGTGGAAAATTGTAGGGAGACCACACACCATAATGCCCAGGCCAAAAATGGCTGGGCAGCAGATATGTTATTGGGAGAAGGCAATTATACAACTAGTGACAATCAAATGCAATATGATCCAGGGCTATTTGCTTAAATTAATACGGCAGCCATGAGAGCTTGGAAAAAACTTCCTACTAAAAGAGACTTAAGTACCTCCCTTACAACAATAAAACAAGGGTCTGACGAACCTTTTTATGAGTTTGTTCATTGGTTAATTACTGCAGCAGGGAAAATATTTGGCAGTACTGATGCAGGTACCAATTTTCTTAAACAATTGGCATACGAAAATGCTAATGTTGCTTGTCAAGCAGCAACCAGGCCATATAGAAATTCGAAAAAAGACTTAGGATATATTCGCCTATGTTCTGATATTGGGTCAGCATACCAACAGGGATTGGCTCTGGCTGCTGCTCTTAAAGGATATACTCTTTGCCAATTCCTTAACCGTAATAATGGAGGCAATTGTTTCAATTGTGGTCGGCCTGGACATATGGCAAAGATCCTGATACAATCATCCAGCCGTATACTAAGGATCAAGTTAATTGGCTATTCCAACAAACAAATTTCTGGCCTATTGCATATGCTTTCTTTACTGGAACTATTGATAACCATCTTCCTCCAGATAAATTTTTATGTTTTTTATCTACCCATGATTTTGTTTTGCCTGTACGAACTTCACTTCATCCTGTTTTAAATGCTTTATTGGTTTTTATTGACAGTTCCTCCAATGGAACTGCTTCCTATTCTTTCTCTGATCAGACAGTTAACGGGAATTCCATACAATCCCCAGGAATAAGGCATTGTTGAACTTTCACAGACTAAGGGCTCGCCAAAAAACCTTCTCGCATATGCTCTTTTTGTCCTAAATTTTCCTGTCTCTTGATAAAGATGGATACTCAACTGCTGAGCACTTCTGGCATTCTACTACCAAAACAAAATTTGCCTCAGTTTTGTGGAAAGATCCTCTGGACAATACATGGAATGGTCCAGACCCTGTCCTCATTTGGGGCAGAGGGTCTGTCTGCATCTATTCTCAAAAAAATGGATGCTGCTTGTTGGTTACCAGAAAGATTAATCAAACAGATTGATTCTAACAAGCCATCCAGGGACAATGAAAACCCTGAGATGTCTCTCTCTCCTTCCACAGATCCACAAAATGAAGATCCTTCTTAAATACCTGATCCTGTTTTGCTTCTTCGACACTACCGCTGCTGGTTTCGATCCTGGCACCGCTCCTCCTGGCAGAACAGGGGGGGGGTCTCTGTCTTGCTTTATAGGAACACTGCTGCTTTTACACCAACAAGTCCGGCATCGTTTGTGACAATCCCTTATGGTCTGCCTGGAACAGTCTCCTCCCCTTTTTCCTCTCCATACTTGGTCCGATTCTGGGTTTACCAACTGTTTGCTCTTTGGGGCTTGTCCTTTTCAATAAGGTCATGGCTTTCCTTAAATGCCAAATTAATGATTCCATAAAAATGCAGCCTATCCAAGTCCACTACCACAACCTGGAGATGGAGTATCACAGAGCCTAGACATTGCTCCTGCCTGAGGCGCTGACAGGTAAGAGAGTCTGAGCCTTACAGCTGTACAGTCCTCCCACCTAAGACAGGAAACCCATCATTGCAATGGGATTCTCCAATGACGGGTAAGGATGGACATGTGGCTCTAAAAAATGACTCCAACCTAAGACAGGCATGATTCCCCCAGGTTTTTCCTCCTCTCTTTGAAAAAAATTTAAAAAGGGGACATGTGGAGGGCACTACATACTGAAGCCATCTTGAGCTATCCACCATCTTGGAAACCATTAGGTTTTACTTCCTTATTGAGCAAATGTTTCTCAGAAATCATGTGACCAACTGTTCTCCCAAGAAGCAATTGGGTTTCTAGGCAATGGGAGAGATTCACCCAGACCAATGATTGGTTCATACTGTTCTATCTCATTTGCAAGTGTGGACATGTGCACGCACACACATACACTCCACTCCTGAGCTACTTTTACTGTTTCTTCCCTTGTGTGTTGACCTTAGTATACTGTGGATCCTTACAGGCCACAAACAGGACTGACTTGCACCTGGTTTGCATGATAGGTGCTCAATAAATGCTGAAGAAGCTAGGAGCTGCATGAAGAGCAGATATCCCACTGAGGCGCTGAGCATGGGAAGACACCCAGCCCAGATTGGACCCTAAGAATAGTGAAGATGAGGATGAACACTGGACAGAGGCCTTTAGAGGGTCTAGAAGGGGTAACGTAGGCTCCCAGTGGTGGACTACCGAGGGTTGGTGGGGCTCGAGGCTGGGGACTGGTGCCCAGGGACCTGGGTGAGGGGTCTTTCACCCTCCAGTCCATGCTCTGGAGCAGAGGTTTTGAATGGCAGCCTCGAGGGAGAGGGCGTTTCTTTAACCCTGTTGCCTGGTCGAGTAATCTATCCCCCAGCAGCAATCAATAAACGCTGACTCAAGAAAACAATCAAAATAGGAAGAAGACAATAGGCTCCCATAAAACGTTGTCATCTGGAAAGCGATCGGGAACCATCCCTCATTTGCCCGGCAGCGGGGCCTCGCTGGTGAGGGGAAGCTCAAACACTGGCTCCTCATCTTTAGGAAAAGGTATGGACGTCACTTTCTCACCAGGTTGTGAATACTAAAGGCAGAAGACCCCTCCAAGGGCGCTTCGACTGCGCTGAGGACGCAGACGGCCCTCAGATCTCCTCAGCTTCCGGCGACACGCCGCTACCGTGAGTCGCCATTTCACGGACAAACAGGCGGCTGGGCCGCGACTTAGCGGCGTGGCAGCGGCGAGGGGTGAGGGCGGCCTGGGTTGGACTGCATGGCCCCGCCGCCCGGGCAGCCAAGGGAAGTCCGGTGCGCCATAGGCTGGCCCGAGCCGGGCGCCCGCGCGTC